TATATATATTCTACAATAATAATCGTAATACATGAATTAGTGTTTCAGCCTCCTCTGGGATCGGGTAATTTCGCAGATGTATACGTTGGAACATTTAAGTGTGATGGTAAAAATGGTAAACAATCAATAACAGTGGCAATTAAAGTAATTAAAGTAAGGATATGTTAAATAAAAATACGGATAAACGAATTGTAATAAAACATATGAATTCTTTTGCGTATTATTGCACATTGATGATAGTGATTTAATAATAAAAGTGATCATAGCATCTTAAGGCATTAAAAAACACTGATGAAAAAAATGGATCAGTTGGAGATAAAGATCATATAAGAGAGGCCATGTTATCAATGATTCGAGAAGGCAAAGTTATGAGTTTTTATAGTCACGAGAATGTTGTCCAGGTGATTTCTAATTATATTATTAATATTTATCAGTTAGAATTGTGTCACAGTATTGGCTACTTTGAAATAAGGTTCAATCAGATTGTAAGACTGTAAGTAATGGTTAAATGTTCCTAATTAATAAATAATTATAATAAATTACAGTTCTTTGGAGTGGCATGTAATCATCCACCAGTAGCGATAGTAATGGAATATTGTCCTGGAGGTAGTCTTGAGACTCACCTTTTGACACAAAAACAGAATATTGTGATTGGAGAACGCCTTACGTTTTGCGTGGAAGTAAGTATAGTGCATAAAATGTATAGATCATTAATAAATCACGTTCACAAAAGCGCGTTTGAAACGCGTCACTGACTTGATTGCTTAAGGATAACACAAGAACAATTATCATACTAATAGCTATACACTCTTGACATGAAATTTCACTGTTTGGGTATATGTCAACCCACGCGCTTTTACAACGTTTCTAAGTCTGTGATTGAAATGGCCTCGTCTTATTGTGGTAACCGATTATACGGTCCATTCCTCTTCTCTTTTATTCATTAGATTTCCATTTCTGCTTGCAATGTTATTTCTTTTTTTCGCAATACTATAATAAAGATAATAATAACACAGTTACATTAATAAAAATAAAGGCAGCGCAAGGAATGCGATATTTGCATGGACAGAACTGTATTCATCGTGATTTGGCATCCCGGAACTGTTTAATATCAGCCGATGGAATTATCAAGATCAGTGATTTCGGTTTATGCAAGATCGAAGAGGCGACTCGTTTGAATGATGACTATTTAATGAATGTTCCTCTTAGGTGTATTCGTCTCATTTTATTAATTTAACTAATTTCAAAATATCGTTTCATGTTCAACTACTCTACTTTTACTAGTAATTAATCAAGTTTGTTTGATGTATAGATGGATGGCACCAGAAACATTAGTTAAACCACCAAAGTTCTCAAAAAAGAGTGATGTTTGGGCATATGGTGTTTTATTGTATGAGGTAATTACATTGTTATTATTGCAGCTAATAATTAGTAGTTTAGTGTTATCAACAGGAGAAAGGCTGGTAAAATTATGCATGAAAGAAACGAATAAATACATACTGACTATTATGATCAAATAATAAACATAAAATAAGTGTCATTAAAGATATTTAATAACGGAGTGAAACCGTGGATCGATGAGGAAGTGAAGAAAATAGCGACTAACATCCGTCATTGCCAAATGCCAGAGATGCCACCCTGCACACCACAGCAAATAAAAGATCTCGTTCAGCTTATATGGTGATTCATAAATATTTTTTGAAATCATATATACCGTGCTCATCAATCATTCAATTAACACATAATTAAGGATTAAAAACCGAGACGAACGACCAACGTTCAAAGTGATCACAAAAAAGATACGCGACATGCAAAAAGGTGACTTAAAGCCACCTGACCCAACCGAATGTTCAGTGAATCGAATCAGTAATGTGCATCGCATTGATTATTCTCGAGAGGTGAACTTCATTATTCAAATAACGACAAGTGGGATATCACCGCATTGTTCTAAACAGACTCCATTCAACATCTCACGTTTATCCATCAATTACTTTCCTTCAACTACCGAAAGTAAAAACAATAACGGCGTTTTAAGGAGACAGCTACAGAAGATAATCTAACACAGTTGCCGTCGAGTACTGAAGAAGCTGAACCAACAATAACTGCCGATGAAACCGAGAAGAAATTCGTGAAGAAACGACATTCATTGACATCGTTAGACTAATTTATTTTGACTATAAAGAAATTTCTGAGGGATAGTGTATATCGAACTGTTTTATAATCATAATAATTTCAGAGCATAAAGTTTGCGTGAATATGATGCTAAAAATCTATTCGAAGAGAGAATAATCAAATTATTAAATCGACTTTAAATTTAGTTTCGAGATAAATATTCATACGATAATAAACATGATTAATGGTCAAGTGTTTCATTTCCATTTCTATACAAACAATTTATTTCGTATGCAATAATTTTATGTGTACACAAACATGTAATTTATTCACATACACCAATAATTTGCACGGGATCCCGGGATTTCAGTTCCGATCGCGATCCCGGGAGTTTTGAAAAGTCCTGGGATTTCGGGATTGGATAAAACAGGTCAATTTGCGTGAATTTTGATAGTACGCTCATCTTGAAGCAAACCATCGATATTACAAGAATTGTTGGATTCCGGGATTATCCCGGGATCGAAAAAACGTCGGGATTTTGCAAACCCTAGATATAACTAAAGAAGAATATCACTGTAAGACTGCATATCAGCTGGTAATAAAGCATGGAACAAATTATCGAATAATTTCAATGCGTTCGGTAATGTACTTGCCATATTTCTCGATAACCAAATATTTTGAAAATTTCTTCGGATTTTCAGCAAACTGTAATTTATCTGTTATTATAATAATGTCACTAACGCAATGGTAACGTGAGTCAGTGGAATATGCCTCTCAGAAATGCGAATCAAAGTGTAAAAATAATTCGCGACACCCAAATTAGTTCACTCCCAGCTCGAGCTCGAGCTTAAACCTATGCATGAACCTCAGCATAAGGATGAACCGTACGGGGCAATTGCAGCCAGATGGTTTGTGTAGGGTCTTGACGCGCCGATGTTTACCATGTAACCTGTTTTTGGATTCCTATCACAGTTTAAACTGCATCAAAAATTGCGTATTTTTCACTGTCACAAATATAACTACCATATAATTTAACAAAGATTTATCAATAATAATAATAATAATAAACGATGAATACCAATTCGCAAGATCGGTACGCGCTGTGACCGGTAAATTTGAGAGATGGAAATTAGCGAACTGATCGTAATTAAAGTTGACATTATTGGATGGACATGACTTTTCGTTGTAGTCATTGACGGCAATTGCATTAATATCGGTCGTCGATGGTACACGAGTAATTTTCATTTGGTGTACGCATAGTGACTGTCCTAATCTGTAACTGTGATGAAAATTCTATGTGATCTAATTACTAATTCGGATAATTCATTATAAAAAGTAAACCTGCAAATTAAGGTCATCAATTCAGTAACGAATTCAACTTCGGCCAATACTAATGCCACTTCAAGATCACAACTTGTTCCAGCTTGTGCTTCTACGAATGCTTTTAAATGCCGTGCCTTCACCTGGATTCGTGCCTTCTAAAAACTAAACAGTAACAACAATCTAAGTGAATGCATTTTCAGTAAATGAATCTTATCAGCGCACCGGTGAATAAATTAATTTTCGCAATCTCCTTGTAACAGCATGTACTTTAACATATATATTCCATCAGAGAACACAATTGAGCTATTAAGGGCGAATTTCATAGGTAGTCGATTGGCATTTACCATTGGTTTTACGTTTCATATTGATGGACGAATTTTACAAGGTGATGGGGTGAATTTAACGCAGCGAGTGAACTTTATGAATTCAGTGAAGAAAAGAAAAGGTTTCGAAATAAAGGAAATACTAAGGTAATTCGGTTAGGTTGGTGTTTTCAAGGACGATTCGATTTCGGTAAAGTCAATAAAATTGATCGTCGATGCAAGGATTTTCTCAAAATTAACTAATCAATATGAAGAACAGAATGAATAAGTGAAACTAATCTTGAAAATGAGAGGTGTGAGTCGTTGAAGTTGCATGAAGTCTGGGTTGAGTAGCATCTCGACAAAAACCGACAATCGCATCTGTGGTGTGCGGCTACTTCCTTCTAATTATTATTTTACCATCATTCACTCTCATATATTGGTTATATTAATAGGCATTATCAGTTATTGCTTAATTCCCATACAAGGCAATAACAAAACACCATAAAATACCCTTTGAATGTGACTCTACTCCTCCATTACTCAGTCTGGTCACCTCATTTTCAACATGACCCAAAGTACATGCTTGTATGAACAAGACTTCCATATTTCTGTAAAGAATACAACAATTGATGACAATAATAGTGACAACAATGATGTTAGCAATAACAATGAATAATAATGGTAATAAATAACAGTAATAACAACAACAATAATGAATGATAAATAAACATAACAACAGTAAGAAATACCCATTCAAAAGAAAATGCTCAGCAGTGATTCGTGGTAAGATAGAAGAGAAATGTGGGATGTGGATGGAACGATTCCAAGCAATTCCTAAGGATGCCACTTGAGGAATATAAGCAAGAGATATGGGCATGATTTCACATCCAGTTGAAACATTGCACATCATAATGCCTCAAAGACAAATATTGTAGTTGAGACTAACATCTACAACGGAAAGAAATAACCTGAGGTAGGTAGTTTTTGAGCGAACTGATTGGCAGTAATTAAAGTATTGATGATGGAATGAAGAGCGTTTGACAGGTAGCCGGGTTGATTACTGTTCACACGAATAACGATGTTCAGCGGATATAATGAGGATGGTAACGCTATAACATCTACTGCGTCGATACATAATGTTACATAGGCTGGTAATGTGTGCATCTGAATATGCGAAATTAGGTCAGGTTATACAATATATACAATAACAACGAACACTGCTTATGTGTGTGGAGTGAAGAGATAAGAAGAAGCGCGCAGAAAGGTGATGAAGGTGGTGAAGCAGAGTTGGATTGGTGATGAGTTGCTGCGCGAGGTTATATCCAAAGTGGAACGAGTGGCATGAAGGTGCAAAATCGCGCATGAATGTCGATATCAATCGTTCAGCAACATCCCATTCGACTCCGCTCGACTGCACATCTAGTGATGGGACTAACTGAACTCTGTTTATTAATCACATTCAAGAGTATGATAACTCAATGATAACAATATGATAACCTTTATTAACGAGTGATCACAAAGTTGCATAAGATGAAAAATGTGATTAGCTGTGAAAGACAATTGGTATCGATCCGTGGTCCTCACTTCAAAATGCAAGAACAAATGACTCGCTTTACAATAAGCAGCTCTTGACACTACCTTCGACAGCTTAAAATTTATTGAATTCGTTACCGAATTAGCCGAATGTTAAAAAGCAATAATAATGTTAGTAGTAACAATACCGTATCAATATTCAACACACTGCATCCACTAAAATCAAAAAATATTGCTCGCACACACGAATCAGGGTTGTCACGAATCGTTACGCATGGTATTACACCTAAAACATTCCTTACTTATCTTTTATAATCATTATGCAGATGGATACATGAAACCATAACGACCAATCATTCATTTCATATGAACATTCTCATATTGACAATTAGTTGTTGCGAGCAAACCAACCACTAGGCACAGCTGGTATCTTTGACTTATAAGATTCGTTGAAGAGAGTGGATTCATACTCTGATGCATGGTGCATACTCACTCCCGATAACGACCTTTCATTGCTGTTATCACTTCTCACTTCCGTTATCTGATGATAAGCATTCAGTTGCGATACAATCAATATCAGACTCAAATAAATAACTTAAGAAGATGAACAATTGACGATACATCATTGTAATTGGTGGCAGTACGGTAACGATGCAATCGAAATATTTGAACAAGGGTTACGAATCCAAACTTGAAGCCGTAATAGTCATTTGCGAACAAGCGAATATCAGTGCACTCGTTTATCGATAGTGAATATGATCCCTTCAGTTGATCACTCTCGAATATACCGCACAGTACAGCACCATTCCACGTCGATGATGACTCTTCCGTCATCTATTTTCATTAAAAAATAAATTACACTCGAACATCTAATCAGCTTACTATTACAGTTGAAACAAGAATAACGCCCACTTTATATCCTCGGTATTCAACTTCTAATCCGACTGATGAGAGTAACGATGTAAATAACTGTATAATTCGCATCATTTCACTTGCATCACCTTCTGACGACGCATCAAAATATATCTTTATACGGCTATCGTTCGGAAATGATATATTTTTATCTCTAAATTATTCATTATCTGTAACAACAACTACAGCACAACGGCATTAAAGAATCAGATCATACTCTGCATCAGGATATATATTCTTCGGTTGTGGCCATAACAAGTCAGTCCACGAATAGGTCTCATCGTTATTGCAATTACTGTTCAGTAATGATGTTGATTCACGTGACACTAATGAGGACCTGTCCAATTCAGAAGCAACCGAATGATAATGGTCCTTGGTTATTGCTGCAGCACCAGTATTTAATCTGTATTAGCATTGCTATGACTATTGCGATTATCACGTGCAATACAAAGAATAATGCAAATGAAGTGAGAGTAAATGGAAAAGCCAACTTGGAAGTGGATAGAACAGGGCGGTAGCTAGTGGTTGACTGCGAACATTCAGGATCAACATCTGTGGCGGCGGTAACTGTGTGTGGATCTGCACGGAACGCCAGCAAGTCACGCACCTCGGCGTCATTGCACCTGTCGACGGCCACGTGCACCGCATCCTCACCTTTCACATTCAGAACATTCATCGAAGCACCAGCCTCACACAGACATCTGCATATCAGTTCATATCTCACGAGCATTAGCCTCACATAAATCGTCGTAATATATCATATGTTGATCACCAAACGAGACAGCCCAATGCAAAGCACTATTTCGTGTCGCAATGCTATCCACACTTGACGAAAGCAATTCACTGACACGATTCACACTTATCTCATTTTACCACTATTATTAATAGCTCCTTTATAAAGAATAAAATGAAGAGCAATAAAATTTTCAAAAAACTTCAGTTGAAGTTCTGATAACTGCAAACCTATAAATAAAATTAATCATCAAAAAGCAATACAGAAATAACCAAATACAGAAGTACGGTCGTACGCGTTGCAGCATGATTTCTACTGCCACAATCAAATGCTAGCTGCAATTAAGTACGCAACTGGCCCTTTAGAAAATTTATTCAAGATGAAAAGATTATTTTATCTCAGGCAATATATATATATATA